TGCAGGAGGCCGATCGGACTCTGATGTTCGGCTTTGACTTGCTGACAGGTAAGATACCTCCTGACGAACTCGGCGACGTCCTTTTTCATACCTCTCCACCAGAACGACCCTTTCAGATCGTGATACATCTTCGTGCTCCTGGGATGGGCCAGATAGGGTGCAGTATGAGCCTCTGATAAAATCTCCTTCCGCAACGCCTTGACTTTCGGGACCACGATCCTGCCTCTGAACTCTAGGGCACCATCGGCACCTAACTGGAAATCCTTGACGCCTCCGGCGCGAACCTTGGCCTCCATGACACGAACAAACTCGTCAGAAGCCTGCTCTCGCCGGATTCTCTCTCTCAGTGTCGGCTGAAGCTGCATAGCACTGACACTGGCACTGGTACTCCTCGAGACAGCTATGGGAAGTGCATCGATCACCTGGAGCTGCATCCAGGCAAACTCATGAATCAACGGACTCTGCTGAGTAATGACGTACATCAAGTCACCCTTCACCTTTCGGCTTAGGGCATCTACGACGACGTTCGCCTTTCCCGGATGATACTGAATAGAGCAATCATCAAGTCATTGTCAGGATAACGGTTTCCAGTGTATAAGAGTCAATAGTCCGGGTTACCGTGGAGGCTTGAAATAATAGCCATTCATCCAGGTATACCACAGAGGCTTGAAGCTGAAACCGGAGCAGTACGATTTCATGTAATAACAACCTTTCCCGTCAGTCATGTCAGATATTTTATCAGTCATGATATTTCAAGTTATGATTTTCGCGATTAAGATCAGCTAATTACTTTGTACTTGCGGGGCTAGTTGATACTGGAGCAGCCCTATCTAGTACAAAGTTATAAATTCATGTTCGCGATTTACAGTTATGTTCATGATGTAAGGTCGACGTATAATAGTTGTTCAGCCGGGTAAAATGTGGCGGTCTGATATACAGACCATTAGTCCAAATTTACCTAGAAACTTGAAGTCATACCTTATCAAGTCAAGTAAGTCAGTAAATATCACGTATTCAATTCCGAAGTGACTATTTAGTTGTCTCGGGATAGTTTTCAGAGTTCAGACAAAGATGATTCCGTCATGTAAGAGTCAAGTCATGGTTATTCAGTTATGTGAATATCATGTCAAGATCGAGGATAGTCTGTCTAATAAGACAAGACTTATCTATCATTTTCAATATGTCAGACTTCTTCTTGAGGTTAAGTTTAACCTCGGAGGAAGTAAACAGTTGCAGGTACCACAGGTTGACATCGCCGCGACGAAGAAGGGCCAATCGATAGCAACGGATCGTGCCTTAATGACAAACCGACGCCTTCCATTCAAAGATACCACGCTTGAGTCTCAGTACACTGGGAGATTACAGAGAGTTAGTATTAACGTACATTGAGGTTACTAGCTTGAGGTATTTATGCGATCAGATTACGTCGACGACGCAGGTGTAATGTTCACTAGGTGCTGTATGCAGGCGTGCCGCACTCTTGATGAGGAGCAGGTGTACCGCAATACAATGTGCCGCGAACGATGTGCCGCGTTGTCGAGCAGACATTCATGAAAGGTAATGACCAATATAGCTAGTTATCCTCATTTGTACATGCGTGTATCTCTGGAATCTTCCATATATACCAACGACAAGAGTCTTCACCACCAGCATTCAGATTGGAGATCAGCCAGCAGCCAGGAGATGATGACTAATACGTTTCAGAGTTTCGTTTTGAGATTATGTCTTATCAGTGGAACGCTTTCTTTTAGAAAAGTGTCCATTCTCAGTCAGCAGTATTCTACAATTCACTTAATTGTGAATTGATGCATCTTCATTTCAGATCAAGTTTCTTATTCAGTATTGAATTACTGGATTCTCAAGTCATGCAATCAGTAAGTATAAGCTTTAAGTTAAGCTTGTACGTTCAGTTTAGTATTTCCGAGGACGGAAATATTTTAAGGAGGGTGGATTGTAACGCCCCGAGTTTTATTAATAAAGGAAAATACTAGCTTTTAATTTTAAGCTAGCCTTTGTTAATAAATATTCATGTTCAAGTCTTAATTATTCAATTTCAGTCATAGTTCGACTATTAGTCGATATGTTATTCGGTTGGAGAACCGAACGAGTTTTCAGATTTAATTCCGATTCATTTAATTAGTTAATGAGTCTGGAATTAATAGGGTTAAAGTGACGAATTATTCGGAATATTATTATTCGGATTAATCGTCCAAGTCAAGAATGTTCGAATTAAATTTTGAATGTCATGTTCATGTTCGGAATAATTTTTCCGATAATTAATTCAGTTAAAGTTCAGCGATGAGTCCATATTAGTACACCGTTCATTGTTAATTAAGTAATGGTCATTAACCTTTGCTTAAATAACTTAATCATGTTTAAGCTAATTAATCAAGATTAGCTTAAAGATAATCATGATTAGCTTAATGTTAATGATGAGGATTAGTTAAGGGATAGCTATGTTTAAGATAATCATGTTTAGTGCTAATCATGTTTAGTTGTAGCATAAAGCATGTTCATGGTGTAAGTTTACACACTTACTATTAAACTCGGAGGTGCGTGCGCCCTTAGCGTCTAAGTGCGCTCTTAATGTACCTAATCGCACTTAAAACGTCTAATGGCCAAGGGTTCAAAAGGTCTCCACACTTCACGTGCAATATCATGATTTAAGGGACACATGGAAGGCTGAGGGCTATTGAGAGTATGACTAAGCTAGCTAAGTGTTGAGTAAGCCCATTAAGGCCACTTAACGTCCCTTAGAGAGCGGCAAGTGATGAGAGATTATTGGCCGAAACTTTGCAAGCAAATCCTCCCCTTTTACCGTGTTATAAGTCAGTATTTTCAGGAAAGGGTGAAGGAGAATTCACTCCATATACTCAACGCATATTTAGCAATAATAAAGCTAAGCATTAGCCATATGAACGCACTCGCTCATGGATGCGTGGAGGCGATGAATCATGCCCAATTATGGGAAATTCTCCGAGTGAGTAAGAAGGCAACTTCAAGTTCAGCCTCTTCTCATGTTAATTAAGTCATGTTAAGTTCAGTTTGTCCAGCCCATGTCGAGAAATTCAAGTGATTATCATGTTATACTCGGTTTAAGTCATTTGAGGTTATGACCGAGTTAAGTTAAATTCTACTCGAACAACGCCAAGCAATTCATGCTTATTTAGTCGTTTCAGGTCATTATATGATCAGGTTTAAAAGATAGGTTGAGACAAATTGAAGTTTTGTTCATGAAATGGTCCATGGAAGTGGACTGTGCATCTAGCGCATGTCCACGGGCCGTGGCATGCCTTTCATGTTAACGTTCAGTATAATGAGAATTGTTCGAGTAACCCTAGTCTCAATAAGCTTTAAATTGAATATAATGATCAGTTTCTCATGATTGTTCGATAAAAGTTCATGTTTACTCGGGGGTTTGGCTTACC